ACGTTTCAATACGATTATTTCGACTGATATTCAATGTCTCTATTTCGCAAAGAATATAATTTCTCAAAGTTAGAAGATAATATAAAATAGATACATACGACCTAAATTGATCAAGTCATTGACTGTAATCGCAGCTTTCTGAAGCGATTCATCGACTCCCTTCTTTTGAGACAGGTGATGTTTTGTACGGCAATCAGCACACAGCACTTTATCGCAATGTAAACATGTACGTACTTCCGTTGTTTCCTTGCACTGTGCACATTGAGCTTGAATTGTCGATGGTGATTCGTCAGTAATGACGGAATACGGGTCTCGACTACATTCAAGACGAACAAATACATATACATTTCGAGCAAAAAACGACGAGAGAAAAATTTTGCTACATCGTTACGGAATAAGTTTTTTCACCGCAACTAGGCAATGATACAGAATCTGCTGGATCTTTCGCGTGGCAATTGCAAAAAATCGAAAAATTTGAGACCATGCCGAAAATGAATTACGTGGGTCGTTCAAAAAGTATCCGGACTGGTTTTATTATTAAGCAATAAGAAGCGTTGTTGTTCTTAGCTTTTAGTCTATGTGTAGGTGGAACAGTGCTCCATCTATAGGTATCATAATCATTAGGCAATGAAATAGCTATGCACGAATATAACGATTTTTGTCAGATCACCCTTTATACACTGATGGAAAATCAAAAGTTTGAGCATCGCTCAGTAATAAAGTTTCTTATTTTGGAAGGACAATCTCCATCCAATATTTATGAACGTATGGTAGCAGTTTATGGTGACTATGTTCCATCACGTACAACAGTATTTGAATGGATTCGTCGTTTTAAAGACGGACAATTAAATGTTGAAGATGGTCCTAAATGTGGTCGACCAATTACTACAACAGACGATCAAACTATTAAAGCTGTTGAATGTCTAATTATCGAAGATCGTCGAATTACAATTCAGCAAATAGCAGATGCCCTTGGCATTTCAACCGGCACGGTACATGATAGTATACATGAACATTTACATATGACTAAAGTTTGTTCAAGATGGGTGCCACATTTACTAACACCGGATCAAAGACACGAACGTGTTCGAGCATGTCAAGAACTTTTGGCTCGCTATTCAATTGAAAGAAACGACTTTATTTTTCGAATAATAACTGGTGATGAGTCGTGGATGTATTATTATCAACCTGAATCAAAACAATCATCAAAACAATGGAAACGAGCTGATTCACCACCACCAACAAAACTCAAACAAGAAAAGTCAACTAATAAAGTTTTATGTTCGTTTTTCTGGGATCACAAAGGAATAATTCTCAAGGAACTATACCACCGGGTACAACAATAACGAAGACATATTATGCAAATATTTTAGTTAATGAACTTCATCCAGAAATTAAAAAACAACGGCGAGTTTTAATTTCAGTTGGTATTATTCTTCATCATGGTAATGCTCCAGCACATACATCACATCTTGTTTTTTTCTACTATTCATAATTTAAAATATGAATTGCTTCGTCATCCACCGTATTCTCCAGATCTGCCCCCCCCCGCGATTATTTTCTGTTTCCTGTTTTAAAAGATCAGCTCAAGGGAAGGCACTACAATGATCGAAGTTCATTAGGGTCATCAATATACCAGTGTCTGAACAGTATGTCTAAAGATGACTTCACAGCAGCTATACAAAAACTTCCAGAACGTTGGCAAAAGTGTATTTCGGCAGAGGGACGATACTTCGAAAAGGAGCACATACATTAATAATTGTAACGTGTTCTATTGTTTTATAATAAAACAAGTCCGGATACTTTTTGAACGCCCTACGCACAAAATAATTCGAAATTCATATAAAATCTACAAGAAATCTTCAACAGAATTTCTGTTAGACTTACTAATATAATTTCATAATATTTCAATAAATATTTGTATTTTAATTTCTATTAGAATTCTTATTACTTGGTCTACTATTCTCTACTAAGGTCTCCCAGGATCTCATTTTGTATTTCTGTGCATGTGTTTCCACCCTCATCTTCAGGTAGGTGATGCGCCTTCTCTGTGTGTCCTTGTTTCCGCCCTCACTTTGACTGAGGTGGTGCGTCCTGTGTGCGTTTTTTCGCCCTCACCATCACTCAGATGATGTGCCCGTGTGTATTTCCGCCCTCACCCTCAAGAAAGTCATAAAGAGCATCAAATAACCTGGTAGACCCTAATGGACACTAATAGATCAGATCTTCGTTCGGTTCCAAAAAAGTCTGGAGGAGTTCAGAGCACAGGCGGCGGAATAGAAGAAGCTAGGAGGGCTTGAGCTACCTCAACTTTTAAAGCACTGAGAGAATCTCTTTTCTCTGTGCGAGTCCCACCATTACTGCGTCCCTCCAAGGTGTGACTTATTCCGCCATCCCCTAGTTCAGAAAAAAGTTCCTTCTATTCTACGATGGCTTCTTCCCCTAAAAAATTCCTGACTCCAGACCTGCAACTAGAGCCCATCGGGTCCGGGTCCAAGCAAAAGAGTTCTATCGGGTTCCAGTTTAAAGTAAGTTTTGGTACACGAAAGAGAAGTCTCTGCTCTCACTCGCGAGTTTTTCGAAATCTTCTCAGTTCTCGATTAGATACTTTTTATGGGTTTCCTGGAAATTCGTTAAAGTCTTAGTATACCTGATCAATGTTCAGATATAGGAGGTAGAGTAGACATCGCAGGTGGAGGAGGTATAGGAGGTACAGGAGGTATAGGAAGTACAGGAGGTATAGAAGGTATAGGAAATACAGTAAGTATAAGAGATTCATTGAGAGAGATGCTCCTTTTGTGTGTTTTCGTCCTCCACCTCAGCGCGAGAAAGGCCCGTGTGTGTTGCGCCCTCAGCAAGAGAGATGCCCTGTGTGTGTTTCCACCCTCACCCTCAGCGAGAGAGCTGCTCTGTGTGTTTCCGCCCTCATCCTTTAGCTCCAATACTTACTAAAACTCCTGTACCTCCTACATCTGAGCATTGGTCAAGTATACAAGAACTTGAATGAATTTCCACGAAGTTCATAAAAGACATCATATACAGTTCTCAGTCATTTTATTAAAATATTGAGCTCGATATTTAGAAGCAAAAAGAAATAGAAAAAAAGAGCAAAACTGTCTCTCATTGAGCTTAATCTGTATCGCTGTTCATTATCGGAGTAATCATATACAGAAAACAATATTTATTCTTGTTCAAGATCATCATCAGTATCATCAGAGATATTTTCAATGTTCCTAAAAAAAGCTGCTGCATTCATCACTAGGGCATGTTATTGTCTGAAAAACGTTCTGATTTTTTCTAGTTCAGGACCTACACCAAACCAGAATTTTTTTCTGGTCCGATGTCGGATCCCCAAGTTAGTTAAGGAAACGCTGTTCTACCGTTAAAACGATGTTTAATGTCATATCGTTTAAACGATGATATATTGACCAAATTACGCGTTTATCACAAAAAACGATTTTCTACGTCATAAAGTAATATTATGTTCTTGTCGTTTAAACGTCGGATTGTAAATGTCATAAATAGTGATTCGTTGACGTTAGAACCATAATTTTTTATTATTTCATCTGTCGTAAACGATTCTTTACTTGAGAAAAAGGTTTAATATTCAAGAATCATCTTCGTCTTACTTGTAACTTGACCATTCATCTAATTTTATTAATTTGATGATGGACAATACACGTTCAATCTTTTTTCTCAATATCTCAATACATTCCAATGAGTAGGCCTCAATTTGTTTTCGAAAAAGCATAAGTTAAATCTTTAACAAGTTAAAATATTTATTTAAAGAAATGAAAGTTCGGCATCTATATAACATAAGACATGAGTAGAAGTCTTTTCTACAAACTTTTCTTTTTGTTTTGATATTTGTTCAAAAGACTTCTACTCATGCCTTATGTTTTAAAGATGCATGAACTTTCACTTCTTTAAATAAATATTTTGACTTGTTAGAAATTTAATTTTTCTGTTTTCTTGAGAATAAAATGAGATCTTTTCTTTAGAATATGTTGAGATATTACAAAAACCCGACAGCACTCTTTCTTCTGACACAGCAATCGTTTTTAAATTTTTTTTTCTATACTCTCTATAGATAATTAAAATTTTGTTGATCGCTCAAGGATGATGCGCTTGTCTTACATCTGATAAATATTCTATCGAAATCTTCTCAAGTTTTCGTTACTAATTCTCAAGTCTAGTTTATTCTAATATCTATGGAGAAATATATAATTAGTTAATTACAAAGTTGTGATTTATGATAATCTCGATGAATAATGAAAGAAGAATCTAAAATAGTTTATTAGTATCAGATATGTATGTGATAGTGAAACTTAGATTTTTAAGAAGATTCAATGAATTGATACGACAAGCGAAAAATTCTAGGGGAAAATTATCATAGATAAAATGATGTCAATTTTTTGGTATATTTTATCAAAAGAAAATATTGAAGAGCAACACTGTTGACGTACTTCTAAAATTTATTCTTTGTTGACGTTATTTTCTTCTCATTCTTTAACAGTCGTCTGTCGTAGATAAAAAATAATTTATTGCTACAAAAGTTAATAGAGCAGCTAAGTTTTTTATTTGATTACTGTAATCTTTATGACTTACGCATATTTATCATCTAGTTGTTCTTTTAAGATTTATACTGAAAACGGAATATATACTCAGCATTATATTCTTTTTATGGTATAAGAGTTAAAAAATTAAAGTTTCTTCGCGTAAGAGTTTCAATCGACGACGAACTCAGTAAAATAACAAGCTCTAAAATGAAATCATTAATGAAACTAAGCTATTTAACATTTTTTTCAACTGATTTATTAAGATCAATCAGTGTGACGTTTCGTTCTAACTAAGAACATTATCAAACATAAATAAATAGACAGAAGAAGAATATATATGAGTAAAATAATATCTTCGTTTTTCTATTCTATTGTTTTAAACATTCTAATGCAGACGGATCAATTTTACTCCCCCGTGCATTGAAATGCGTAAAACAATAGAATAAAAACGATGACATTATTTTACTCTTATATATATTCTTCTTCTGTCTATTTATTGGTGTTTGATTATGTTCTTAGTTAAAACAAAACGTCACACTAATTGATCTTAATAAATCAGTTTAGAAAATGTTAAATAGCTTAGTTTCACTAATGATTTTATTATAGAATGTGGTAATACCAAATGATAAATAAGTTCTATATTATATATTCTTTCTACGAATATCGTATTTTGTCAACTATTTCGATGAAATGTACAAGAAAGTTTTCCACAAATACTATCCTAAGAAAAAGCAAAAATAAACGCAGAACGTAAGGTGAAACTAAATCCTCTACATCGTTCAATTCTGAAGACTTCTTCTATTAGAGTTATCTGAATCTTTTTGCTCATGTTTTCTAAGCTTGACCAACCGTCAATGAGAATCCTTATTCACAATTCGTATACAGTAAATATGTGAATTTCTTCGTAATCTGAATAGTATTTTAGATTAAATTCAGATATCATTCATGTATCTTATCTTTGTGTGCATTCACATTGCTTGCAGAATTGATGTTTACTTATTGAGCAATCTTCATCGAATCAATGAATGAATGTGCTGGACGAATTTATTTTCTCTTTTGCCCTTCTCTAACTTTATTCTTTTTGCCTTCCTCTTCTCTGAATTTTTTCTTTTTTTTCTTGACTTAAATTTTTCTTTTCTTCCCTTTGTTTTCCTATATCTCCAATTTGATTAAGACTAGCAATCAATTACTAAGCATATGAGAGCCGTTCTGTTTATGCCACATACATTTGTTGAATATATATTAACTGAAAATATTACTCTTTTGACTTGGCTAGAGTTTCTAATTGGATTATGTAGCTTATAATTAATAATGTTGTATTGCTTGTCATAAAACGAGTTTCAATTAGCTCATATACTGATGAGTTGATAATTTGTGATGAAAATTCTAATGCAGCAATTTTATGTTTGAGAATATTAGGAACTTACAATTTATCGTACGTTTCAAGCTTTGAATATAATCAAAAAATTAGGATTTCAATGTGAAAATTGAGACTTTTAAATCAATGAAATCAGCCTGTATTTTTTCGATATTCTAATGTTCGCACCAACACATGATTTTGATTCATATGATGTCAATGTTATGCGGATTCTTACTTTAATCACTGGAACACTTTTTCACATAATTAAATCTACAGCGAATACTTTTTTGAATTAACTCAGCAGATCAAAAGATAAATGAAAGCTCCCAACGGACTAAATGTCTTTCACGCGTACTGTGAAACAATAAAAAACACAAATTCACGAGAATATAAATAATTATGGGAACCAGTCCCAAAAAAAAGATTAATCTACTTTGAGCATTTACAGCTGTTTTCGTTGGAAAAGATGATCATAAACATTTCTCACTATCTTTTACGAAGAAGAAAATGACTTATATAACCGTTTCAGAGATTATTTAATGTGAATAACGCTTGGAAACGCTGACTAGACGTAAA